AAAAAAAAAAAAAAAAAAGAAAAAAGAAAGAAAGAAAGAAAAGAAAATTTTTTCTACCTCCCATAAATGAATGTTTAACTAACATTTAAAGATATTGGCTTATCAATGGGGTGCGTGCCTGCTGAGGGGAACTATAAATTATTAAGCCTGACCTGGTGTCCAATTTACTAGACAATAGAGGAAAGGAGTCCAAATCATGCAGAACTCGTGGGCCACACCCAGGGTTTTATATTTTATGTTAACAATAATGATATCACTAGAGTTTTAAGCAGGGGAAAGATATAATCAGAATCGAGACAAAGTGCATCAACTTCCACTTGGTTGTATAAAACAGCATAAAACAGAACTTGGGCTTCCTGGCAGTGAGGCCACTATCCCATCACAGATTTTTAAAATAAATATGATTTGAAACACTGTGATCTTTTTTTTATTTTTTTAAATTTTTTTGAGATGGAATTTTGCCCTCTTGCCCAGTCTGGAGTACAGTGGCTCAATCTTGGCTCACTGCAACTTCTGCCTCCTGGGGTTCAAGCAGTTCTGCGTCAGCCTCCCAAATAGCTGGGACTACAGGCGTGTACCACCATGCCTGGCTAATTTTTTGTATTTTTAGTAGAGATGGGGTTTCACCATGTTAGCCAGGATGGTCTCATCTTCTGACCTCATGATCTGCCCACCTCAGCCTCCCAAAGTGCTGGGATTACAGGCATGAGCCACCATACTTGGCCAAAACCATGTGATCTTTCACACAATCATACTTAGCAGGAACTTTTTGAAATAGGGCAGGCTCATGCTTTATGCAAGAAAACATGAAGGAGGCTCTTGGTTTTGGTCTGCAAGAGTCTTGCTCTGGTGCCTAGGCTGCAGTGCCATGGTGTGTTCTTGGCTCACTGCAACCTCCTCTTCCTGGGTTCAAGCAATTCTCCTGGCCCAGCCTCCCAAGTAGCTGAGATTAGAGGTGCCCACCACAATGCCCAGCTAATTTTTGTATTTTTAGTAGAGACAGGTTTTCACTGTGTTAGCCAAGCTGGCTTCAAAGTCCTGACCTCAGATGATCAGCCGCCTTGGCCTCCCAAAATGCTGGGATTGCAGGCGTGAGCCACCATGCCTGGTTCACAAACTCCATTTTGCCTTTGGCAGAGGAGATGTTTTCTTTCTTCATGCCCTCTGGATATGACTGGGGTCTCCCAGCTTTTCCTGGCTACTATTTGCTATGACCTCATACATGTTGGGTTTTGCTCTCAAAAAGGAGAGCAAGAAGAAAGGTTGGTTTTAGAAACCAAGAGGGTTGGCAGTGGGTGTGTACATTTTGTCATGGAGTCCACGGAGCTCATCTTTTGAGTCTCTGAGAAGTTTCATTTCTTGTACAGAAAGAGTACAATTGAATTCAAGTTTGCCTTTAGAAATTGCACTGAAGAAAATAATGTACAGTAAAGGAAAGCTTATTTTCTGCATGGTTGTCTTTTCAAAGACAGCATTTGAAGCATGTTTCCTAGAGATTATGTAGATGACGGTGAGCTGGCTGAGGCATTGCTGAAGCTAGGGTGGTGTGTAAGGAGCATGTGGAGCCACAAGAGCCACCTCCTGTAGTCAGCTAAGGGCCTCCCTCCCTGTGCCTGGCAATTTTTTTTTTTTTTT